CAAATGCTCTCATGAATTTTGGTTGAGCACCTTCTATTCCTTTACTTATTCATTAAATACATTTGTGTTTGTGTTATTAAATGTGACCATCATTAATGAGCTTGTGTGGTTTTGTCAGGATCCCGGGCAGGGTAGAGGGGGGGCTATAGAGCTCTGTGTGGACTGTGTTGATAAATGAGAGGATTCATCTTTTAGAATAAACAAACCAACTGGACTGGATCCAGGGTCAAGGTGAACAGGCATGATGTAACACACACACACGATGTGGCAGCAGTGTGTTGGGTTTCCGGATGTGAAGCGTGTGTGCATGTGTGTGTATTTGTAAAGTTTCCCTGGTCGACCTGTGGTTAACAGCACAATGGGAGTGATAGAGTGTCCTTACAACTCCTTTCTCTCTCCCTCCCTACTGGCAGCACACAGGTAGTTTGTTCTCTCTCTCTCTCCCTCTCTCCCTCTCTCTCCCTCTCTCTCTCTCTCTCCCTCTCTCCCTCTCTCCCTCGCTCGCTCGCTCCCTCACTCTCTCTCTCTCTCTCTCTCTCTCTCTCTCTCTCTCTCTCTCCTCTCTCTCTCTCTCGCTCCCTCCCTCTCTCGCTCCCTCCCTCTCTCTCGCTCCCTCTCTCTCACTCACTCTCTCAATTCAATGTCAATTGAAGGGCTTTATTTTTTTATATATTTTTTTATTTCACCTTTATTTAACCAGGTAAGCCAGTTGAGATTCTCATTTACAACTGCGACCTGGCCAAGATAAAGCAAAGCAGTGCGATAAAAACAACAACACAGAGTTACATATGGGGTAAAACAAAACAAAGTCAAAAATACAACAGAAATAAATATATATACAGTGTGTGCAAATGTAGCAAGTTATGGAGGTAAGGCAATAAATAGGCTATAGTGCAAAATAATTACAGTTAGTATTCACACTGGAATGATAGATGTGCAAGAGATGATGTGCAAATAGAGATACTGGGGTACAAATGAGCAAAATAAATAACAATATAGGGATGAGGTAGTTGGGCGGGCTAATTTCAGATGGGCTGTGTACAGGTGCAGTGATCGGTAAGGTGCTCTGACAACTGATGCTAAAAGTTAGTGAGGGAGATAAGTGTCTCCAGCTTCAGAGATTTTTGCAATTTGTTCCAGTCATTGGCAGCAGAGAACTGGAAGGAATGGCGGCCAAAGGAGGTGTTGGCTTTGGGGGATGACCAGTGAGATATACCTGCTGGAGCGCAGACTACGGGTGGGTGTTGCTATGGTGACCAATGAGCTAAGATAAGGCAGGGATTTGCCTAGCAGTGATTTATAGATGGCCTGGAGCCAGTGGGTTTGGCGACGAATATGTAGTGAGGACCAGCCAACAAGAGCGTACAGGTCACAGTGGTGGGTAGTATATGGGGCTTTGGAGACAAAACGGATGGCACTGTGATAGACTACATCCAATTTGCTGAGTAGAGTGTTGGAGGCTATTTTGTAAATGACATCGCCGAAGTCAAGGATCGGTAGGATAGTCAGTTTTACAAGGGCATGTTTGGCAGCATGAGTGAAGGAGGCTTTGTTGCGAAATAGGAAACCGATTCTAGATTTAACTTTGGATTGGAGATTCTTAATGTGAGTCTGGAAGGAGAGTTTACAGTCTAACCAGACACCTAGATATTTGTAATTGTCCACATACTCTAGGTCAGACCCGTCGAGAGTAGTGATTCTAGTCGGGTGGGCGGGTGCAAGCAGCGTTCGGTTGAAGAGCATGCATTTAGTTTTACTAGTGTTTAAGAGCAGTTGGAGGCTACGGAAGGAGTGTTGTATGTCATTGAAGCTCGTTTGGAGGTTTGTTAACACAGTGTCCAATGAAGGGCCAGATGTATACAAAATGGTGTCGTCCGCATTGAGGTGGATCTGAGAGTCACCAGCAGCAAGAGCGACGTCATTGATATACACAGAGAAAAGAGTCGGCCCAAGAATTGAACCCTGTGGCACCCCCATAGAGACTGCCATAGGTCCAGACAACAGGCCCTCCGATTTGACACATTGAACTCTATCAGAGAAGTAGTTGGTGAACCAGGCGAGGCAGTCATTTGAGAAACCAAGGCTATTCAGTCTGCCAATAAGAATGCGGTGGTTGACAGAGTCGAAAGCCTTGGCCAGGTCAATGAAAACGGCTGCACAGTACTGTCTATTATCGATCGCGGTTATAATATCGTTTAGGACCTTGAGCGTGGCTGAAGTGCACCCATGACCAGCTCGGAAACCGGATTGCATAGCGGAGAAGGTACGGTGGGATTCGAAATGGTCGGTGATCTGTTTGTTAACTTGGCTTTCAAAAACTTTTGAAAGGCAGGGCAGGATGGATATGGGTCTGTAACAGTTTGGATCTAGAGTGTCACCCCCTTTGAAGAGGGGGATGACCGCGGCAGCTTTCCAATCTCTGGGGATCTCAGACGTTACGAAAGAGAGCTTGAACAGGCTAGTAATAGGGGTTGCGACAATTTCGGCGGCTAGTTTTAGAAAGAAAGGGAGGGTGCAGAGCTGGTGGCCGGGGTAGTGGTAGCCAGGTGGAAAGCATGGCCAGCCGTAGCAAAATGCTTGTTGAAATTCTCGATTATTGTAGATTTATCGGTGGTGATAGTGTTTCCTAGCCTCAGTGCAGTGGGCAGCTGGGAGGAAGTGCTCTTATTTTCCATGGACTTTACAGTGTCCCAAAACTTTTTGGAGTTAGTGCTACAGGATGCATTATTGGCATGGGAAACGTATGTTAACATTGCCAAAGCAAGTGAAGTAGATAGTAAACAAAAGTGAAATAAACAATAAATATTAACAGTAAACATTACACTCAGAAGTTCCAAAAGAATAAAGACATTTCAAATGTAATATTATGTCTATATACAGTGTTGTAACAATGTGCAAATAGTTAAAGTACAAATGGGAAAATAAATAAACATAAATATGGGTTGTATTTACAATGGTGTTTGTTCTTCACTGGTTGCCCTTTTCTTGTGGCAACAGGTCACAAATCTTGCTGCTGTGGTATTTCACCTAATAGATATGGGAGGTAATCAAAATTGAATTGTTTTCGAATTCTTTGTGGGTCTGTGTAATCTGAGGGAAATATGTGTCTCTAATATGGTCATAGATTTGGCAGGAGGTTAGGAAGTGCAGCTCAGTTTCCATCTCATTTTGTGGGCAGTGTGCACATAGCCTGTCTTCTCTTGAGAGCCTGGTCTGCCTACAGCGGCCTTTCTCAATAGCAAGACTATGCTCACTGTGTCTGTACATAGTCAAAGATTTCCTTAAGTTTGGGTCAGTCACAGTGGTCAGGTATTCTGCCACTGTGTACTCTCTGTTTAGGGCCAAATAGCATTCTAGTTTGCGCTGTTTTTTTGTTAATTCTTTCCAATGTGTCAAGTAATTATCTTTTTGTTTTCTCATGATTTGGTTGGATCTAATTGTGTTGCTGTCCTGGGGCTCTGTGGGGTCTGTTTGTGTTTGTGAACAGAGCCCCAGGACCAGCTTGCTTAGGGGACTCTTCTCCAGGTTCATCTCTCTGTAGGTGAAGGCTTTGTTATGGAAGGTTTGTGAATCGCTTCCTTTTAGGTGGTTGTAGAATTGAATAATTTAGCGGGTATCGGCCTAATTCTGCTCTGCTCAAGTATTTTTAGCCAGATCCTAATTGGTATGTCGAATTTTATGTTCCTTTTGATGGTGTAGAAGGCCCTTCTTGCCTTGTCTCTCAGATCGTTCACAGCTTTGTGGAAGTTACCTGTGGCGCTGATGTTTAGGCCAAGGTATGTATAGTTTTTTGTGTGCTGTAGGGCAATGGTGTCTACAAGGAATTTGTATTTGTGGTCCTGGCAACTGGACCTTTTTTGGAACCTTATTTTTGTCTTACTGAGATTTACTGTCAAAGCCCAGGTCTGACAGAATCTGTGCAGAAGATCTAGGTGCTGCTGTAGGCCCTCCTTGGTTGGAGACAGAATCACCAGATTATCAGCAAACAGTAGACATTTGACTTCAGATTCTAGTAGGGTGAGGCCGGGTGCTGCAGACTGTTCTAGTGTCCTCGCCAATTCGTTGATATATATATGTTGAAGAGGGTGGGGCTCAAGCTGCATCTGTCTCACCCCACGGCCCTATGGAATGAAATGTGTGTGATTAAATAATAATAATAAATAATATGCTATTTAGCAGATGCTTTTATCCAAAGCGACTTACAGTCATGCGTGCATACATTTTTTGTGTATGATTTTTGCCAATTTTAACCGCACACTGTTTGTTTACATTGATTTTTTTACATGGATTTTATAATGTATGTTTTTCCCCCAACACCGCTTTCCATCAATTTGTATAGCAGACCCTCATACCAAATTGAGTCAAAAGCTTTTTTGAAATCAACAAAGCATGAGAAGACTTTGCCTTTGTTTTGGTTTGTTTGTTTGTCAATTACGGTGTGCAGGGTGAATACATGGTCTGTCATACAGTAATTTGGTAAAAAGCCAAATTGACAAATCTCTCTCTCTCCCCATACACAGTATCTTAATTGTTCAACAGGTGATTCCCTTACAAACAAATATTGCAGTCAGAGTGCAGTACAACTGCAGCTAGAATCCAGTATAACTGCAGTATGTTGCAAATACTGCGTCCAAAATAACACGTTTTCTTTTACTTCAGTAATTTTGCAGTATAACTGCAGTTCAACTGCAGTACACTGCAGTTATTCTGCAATTACTTCGTCCAAAATACCACAGTCGACTGCAGTTACTGCACTTTTATTGCAGTTTCAAAACTGCAATCTTTTTTTGTAAGGGTTAAATGATCAAATAACACAGTAATTTCCAGGAACGTTTTAATCTGATGCATGTTTACATGCACCTTATTTCATAGCGCTCATCTGCCGCCACCTGGTGGATATTCAACGCAGTTAATCGTGCATTTCTGTGTCGTGCTGAACTGGGAAACAAAATCAGCAAAAGCGCTAATTTGTCACTTCCGGTTCGTCTTCATCGAAAGAAATGGCGGACATGGACGAACTATTCGGGAGTGATGGGGACAGCGACAACGAACAAAGAGGTAAAGTTAGCCATCAAAATGCTGTTCAGAAAAGTTTGCGAAACACGTCTAACGTCACGCTAGACGAATAGCTTTATGCAGTTACAGCTAGCAAGCTAGCTAATGTGATCTAGCTAAGGCCGGTTGGCTGATGCTAGCTAAGCTAACGTTAAGTAGCTAGTAAAGAGGACCTTTGTGAGAATATCCATCAACAACCTAACTAGGAACAAAATAGCCAAATTGGCCTGCTAGGCAGAGCCAGTACTTACTTGGTCCAGCACACTAGCTAGCTAACAAACCAAGCTCTCCTTAGAAAGTGTGTGTGTGTGTGCCAGCGAGAGTATGTGTGTGTAGCTAACGTTAGTATTTGTGTTTATTTCACATGTATGTACATTTCCCCTCTGCTAACATGACTGTTTGTCTGTCTCTGTGTGTGTGTGTGTGTGTGTGTGTGTGTGTGTCCGTGTCCTCAGCAGTGGCGTCTGGCTCTGGTTCGGGTTCTGACTCTGAGCCGGAGGTGCCCCGGTCCCGTTCCCATTCCCATAGTAACGCCTCCGGCAGTGACAGCGAGAGAGATGAGGATTTAGGACGAGACGGGGGAAAGCCCAACACCAAGGTGAGGTCCAGTTGGTTCAGTACATACACACACAGGAAACACTCTTAGCCTCAATAATGACATATAACTCTATGAACCAGGAGCTGTTTGGGGATGACAGTGAAGAGGAACGCCATAGCCAACACAGCGACAACCAATCAAACCTGTCAGAACGCTCAGGAAACCAGTCAGACGCCAGCATGCACTCGGAGCCCGAGGACAACGACCAGTCAGATGCGGAGCAGCACAGTGGGTCGGAGAGAGGGCACCGGGAGGAGGAGGAAGATGGAGATCGAAGGTCAGAGGCAGGCAGTCCAGTATCGGGGGCAGGGAGCCCCAGGTCTGTGAGGGGCAGCGCTCGCTCTGAGAAGAGGTGAGGAGGAGGAGGAATGATAATGGAATGGGTTTTCACCAGGTATTGAAAGCACTTTGAGTGAAAACAAATTTCATTGGAATGTACGTAATGCATAATAACTTGTTTTCCCGCCAGTGTCCATAGCGACCCCGGAACCCCCCACTCGGCGCCCGGCACCCCCCACTCGGCGCCAGGCACTCCCCAGTCTATCCCCGGCACCCCCCAGTCTGTCCCCGGCACCCCCCAGTCTATCCCCGGCACCCCCCAGTCTGTCCCCGGCACCCCCCACTCAGGGCCCGGAACACCCCACTCAGATGGGGAGGGGTCAGGCAGGGAGAACCAATCAGGTGATGAAAAGTGGGGAGGAGGGGCTAAGAGTGACCAATCAGAGGACGAGGAGGAGAAGCGGCACCAATCGGACGAAGAGAGAGAGAATTCTGATGAGGACGGGGCGGGGCATAGGAGCAGGAATAAGTCAGGTATTAAAGAGAGTGTGTATGTGTGTCTGGTCTGAAGGACCTTCCTCTAGCCACTCACTAGATCAGGGTTCTTCAATTCCGGTCCTGGAGGGCCGAAACACTTCTGTTTTTTATTTCTACCTGGTAGTTAATTGCACTCACCTGGTGTCCCAGGTCTGAATTAGCCCCTGATTAGAAGGAGAGGATGAAAAACAGAGGTGTTTCGGCCCTCCAGGACCGGAATTGAAGAACCCTGCACTAGATCATCCTTTGAGTTTGAAAAGAAAACTGTTGCAACGTTCAGCAACATCTGCTTTACTATTGCATTAATGTTCTCTATCAGGCTTTGTCAATGATATTGTTGTATCACATCCTAGATGGCATTGTTTTTTCCCCATTGTGTCCTTGAACAAGTCACTTAACCCCTTGACTTTTTCCACGTTTTGTTACGTTACAGACTTATTCTAAAATTAATTCAAAAATATATATATTTCATCAATATACACACAATACCCCATAATGACAAAACAAAAACAGTTTTTTAGAAATTTTAGCAAATGTATAAATATCACATTTCCATAAGTATTCAGACCCTTTACACAGTACTTTGTTGAAGCACCTTTGGCAGTGATTACAGCCTCGAGTGTTCTTGCGTATGACGCTTGAAGCTTGGCACACCTGTATTTGGGGAATTTCTCCCATTATTCTCTGCAGATCCTCTCAAGCTCTGTCAGGTTGGATGGGGAGCATCACTGCACAGCTATTTTCAGGTCTCTCCAGAGATGTTCGATCGGGTTCAAGCCCAGGCTCTGGCTGGGCCACTCAAGGACATTCAGAGACTTGTCCCGAAGCCACTCCTGCGTTGTCTTGGCTGTGTGTTTAGGGTCGTTGTCCTGTTGGAAGGTGAACCTTCGCCCCAGTCTGAGGTCCTGAGCGCTCTGGAGCAGGTTTTCATCAAGGATCTCTCTGTACTTTGCTCCGTTCATCTTTCCCTCGATCCTGACTAGTCTCCCAGTCCCTGCCGCTGAAAAACATCCCCACAGCATGATGCTGCCACCACCATGCTTCACCGTAGGGATGGTGCCAGGTTTCATCCAGACGTGACACTTGGCATTCAGGCCAAAGAGTACAATCTTTGTTTCATCAAACCAGAGAATCTTGTTTCTCATGGTCTGAAAGTCCTTTAGGTGCCTTTTGGCAAACTCCAAGTGGGCTGTCATGTGCCTTTTACTGAGGAGTGGCTTCCGTCTGGTTACTCTTTCATAAAGGCCTGATTGGTGGAGTGCTGCAGAGATGGTTGTCCTTCTGGAAGGTTCTCCCATCTCCACAGATTAACTCTGGAGCTCTGTCAGAGTGACCATCTGGTTCTTGGTCACCTCCCTGACCAAGGCCCTTCTCCACCGATTGCTCAGTTTGGCCGGGCGGCCAGCTCTAGGAAGAGTCTTGGCGGTTCCAAACTTCTTCCATTTAATAATGATGGAGGCCACTGTGTTCTTGGGGACCTTCAATGCTGCAGACATTGTTTGGTACCCTTCACCAGATCTGTGCCTCGACACAATCCTGTCTCGGAGCTCTAAGGACAATTCCTTCGACCTCATGGCTTGGGTTTTGCTCGAACATGCACTGTCAACTGTGGGATCGATTGTCCAATCAATTGAATTTACCACAGGTGGACTCCAAGTTGTAGAAACATCTCAAGGATGATCAATGGAAAGAGGATGCACCTGAGCTCAATTTCGAGTCTCATAACAAAGGGTCTGAATACTTACATAAATAAGGTATTTCTGTTTTTCATTTTGAATAATGTGCAACAATTTCATAATACTGTTTTCGCTTTGTCATTAAGGGGTATTGTGTGTAGATTGAGGATTTGTATTTATTTAATCCATTTTAGAATAAGGCTGTATGTAACGTAACAAAATGTGGAAAAAGTCAAGGGGTCTGAATACTTTCCGAATGCACTGTATGTATGTGTATGTCTTTTCAGAGGTGTTGGGTTAAAAGGGGAAGTAACATTTCGGTTGGACCTTGTGTGGAATTGACCAATAAAGTGATCATAAATCTTTGTGTAGCGCAATGACTGGAAGTCTACAGGAGAATTATACAAATTAAATGATGTGTGTGTGTGTGCTTCAGAGTTTGCGAAGGGCAGTGACAGCGAGGATGACTTCATTGGACGGAAGAACAAGAAGATGGCGGCGTCTGCCTCAGACTCTGACAGCGACGTTGGAGCCAAGAAGATGGCGGCGTCTGCCTCAGACTCTGACAGCGACGTTGGAGCCAAGAAGATGGCGGCGTCTGCCTCAGACTCTGACAGCGACGTTGGAGCCAAGAAGATGGCGGCGTCTGCCTCAGACTCTGACAGCGACGTTGGAGCCAAGAAGATGGCGGCGTCTGCCTCAGACTCTGACAGCGACGTTGGAGCCAAGAAGATGGCGGCGTCTGCCTCAGACTCTGACAGCGACGTTGGAGCCAAGAAGAAAGGAAAAGGTAAACCTAGATCTGAAGGAGGGTTGCAAAAAGAACTTCCCCAAAAATCCCTGCTTTTCCAGAAGTCCTGGTTAGAGGGTCCCGGATTTCCTGCTTATCCCCTCCTGAATCCGGGACTCTTCCAACCGGGATTTCTGGAAAACGTGGGTATTTTGAAAAATGTACTGCATTTTTGCAACCCTAATCTGAAGTCCTACACGTGGTCTTCTCAACATACTAGAGGAGAAGATCCAAGTTTCCTCCATTTTTTTTTTTTCATTTTTTTTTTTTCTTGAGCGGATGTTCCGGTCAGGGGGCCGGAACATAATTTGAAATAATTTGTAGACTGCAAATTGACCACAAGAAGCCCAAACAGATATAATAGTTGACTAAAACATAATCATTTCAAACCCTGCTTACATTTGTATGCGATCACGTGTCTCTATAATGTGTGGGAATACTTGGGAACCGATTTCCAAATTTAAAATCACTTGGAGCTGATTTCCTGGTATTATTAGTATTTTATGTCCAGCAATAATAAATAAAGAAAAAAGAAAAAAAAATTCTCAACTTTGGGGGGCCAAATAAAACCATTTGGCCTGTGGGCCTCCAGTTGGGGAACCCTGATATATACTGTATAACGGGGGTATTTGGAAATAGCCACAGGATGGTTTTGCAATACCGTTGTGACTATATATAATTTATTTAATTAATTAGAATATTTGTAGCTACTTTTTTATGTAAAGAAATACAGTACCTGCAGTCAACTGGTGCAATATGTTAGGAGATAAACCAGATGGCGTTCTTCATTTCACCTGTCACATTATTTAACGTTAGGAAGCTTTACCGGTAGTCCCCGGTTACTGGTGTGCGGCATGCGCCAGGGGATTTAGTTACAGTATGGATTTCACAACGAAATATTTGCCTGCTAAATATCTTATAACTATTAAGTTAACTGTCTAAAAGGTGCTAAACGCTCTGCAGTTGTGCATTTGGTTTGCTAATTTAGTATCTAGGTAAGTGGTTAGCTTCTTCCAAAATCAAGCTTCCCTTGGTATCAGCAGAGAATCCCCTCCTGGATCACAAGCCTTGCTGGCTAATATTAGTTTTCTGCGTGCAGCAAATTGTGAGTAGCATTTTGAGTTACTTTAATAACTTTATGAGCAGAGATGTCTGTTCTGCAAATAGTTTGTCAGGAGACTTTTAAAATGTTCGCAATGCACTTGTTAGCATTTAGCTATCATTCACTATGGGATTTTACATGTACTTGTTGGCATTGGTAACCTTCAGATTGCGAAGGCTCAGTGGGGTTGGAAAATAGCGCCCCTTGTGTTCAGTGGCGGTATTACTGAATATCCCGGGATGGCACAAGGTCGGTATGACAATCTGGATACTGCCCAAGCCTCCTCCGATGCGCTTTGAGAAGGAGGCAGGGAATCAGGGTATAATCCCTCTATGTTTATCTCCTACCTGTTACAGGTCAGAGGTTAGGGGTCAGGGTTAGAGGTTAGGGGTCAGGACTCAACTCTCTCCATCTCTTCCTCAGGTAAGAAGCCAGCAGCAGACGACCTGTTTGGAGAGGCAGACGACATCTCATCAGACAGTGATGCTGAGAAACCCCCCACTCCAGGACAACCCCTGGTGAGAGTAACTTTACCCCCCCACTCCAGGACAACCCCTGGTGAGAGTAACTTTACCCCCCCACTCCAGGACAACCCCTGGTGAGAGTAACTTTACCCCCCCCCACTCCAGGACAACCCCTGGTGAGAGTAACTTTACCCCCCCCCACTCCAGGACAACCCCTTGTGAGAGTAACTTTACCCCCCCCCACTCCAGGACAACCCCTTGTGAGAGTAACTTTACCCCCCACTCCAGGACAACCCCTGGTGAGAGTAACTTTACCCCCACTCCAGGACAACCCCTGGTGAGACACACTTTACCCCCCCCACTCCAGGACAACCCCTGGTGAGACACACTTTACCCCCCCCCCACTCCAGGACAACCCCTGGTGAGACACACTTTACCCCCCCCCACTCCAGGACAACCCCTGGTGAGACACACTTTACCCCCCCCCACTCCAGGACAACCCCTTGTGAGACACACTTTACCCCCCCCCCACTCCAGGACAACCCCTGGTGAGACACACTTTACCCCCCCCCACTCCAGGACAACCCCTTGTGAGACACACTTTACCCCCCCACTCCAGGACAACCCCTGGTGAGAGTAACTTTACCCCCACTCCAGGACAACCCCTGGTGAGAGTAACTTTACCCCCCCACTCCAGGACAACCCCTGGTGAGAGTAACTTTACCCCCCACTCCAGGACAACCCCTGGTGAGACACACTTTACCCCCCCACTCCAGGACAACCCCTGGTGAGAGTAACTTTACCCCCCACTCCAGGACAACCCCTGGTGAGACACACTTTACCCCCCCACTCCAGGACAACCCCTGGTGAGAGTAACTTTACCCCCAACTCCAGGACAACCCCTGGTGAGACACACTTTACCCCCCCACTTCAGGACAACCCCTGGTGAGAGTAACTTTACCCCCCCACTTCAGGACAACCCCTGGTGAGACACACTTTACCCCCCCACTTCAGGACAACCCCTGGTGAGAGTAACTTTACCCCCCACTCCAGGACAACCCCTGGTGAGAGTAACTTTACCCCCCACTTCAGGACAACCCCTGGTGAGAGTAACTTTACCCCCCACTCCAGGACAACCCCTGGTGAGAGTAACTTTACCCCCCCCACTCCAGGACAACCCCTGGTGAGAGTAACTTTACCCCCCACTCCAGGACAACCCCTGGTGAGAGTAACTTTACCCCCCACTTCAGGACAACCCCTGGTGAGAGTAACTTTACCCCCCACTCCAGGACAACCCCTGGTGAGAGTAACTTTACCCCCCCCACTCCAGGACAACCCCTGGTGAGAGTAACTTTACCTCTGCATGTTACAAGAACTAATAATGAAGCGTGTCTGTGTCTCCAGGACCAGGAGGAGGGTGTGGAGGGGGATCACGCTGAGGAGGAGCCCGTCCCAGAGACTCGTATCGAGGTGGAGATTCCTAAAGTCAGCACTGATCTAGGATCAGACCTCTACTTCGTCAAACTACCCAACTTCCTCTCTGTTGAGCCCAGGTTAGACACACCCCAGCTGGTCCCAGTTCACTCCCTAACCCTTACCGTTCCATGTTAACAGATCTGAAGGGTCTGGGTAGGTAGAAGCAGTGTCTTCCCTTTGAACTGTGTGTCTAATGTGATGTGTTCCTCCCTGTTCAGACCCTTTGACCCTCAGTACTATGAGGATGAGTTTGAGGATGAGGAGATGTTGGATGAAGAGGGTCGGACCAGGCTCAAACTGAAGGTGTGTGTGTGCCCTGTGTGTCTGCAGTGTGTGTGTGTGTGTGTGTGTGTGTGTGTGTGAGTGACGTGACGTGACAGTGTTCTGTGTTCAGGTTGAGAATACTATCCGGTGGAGAGCCAAGAAGGGGGAGGAGGGGGGCGACGCCAGAGAGAGTAACGCCCGCATCGTCAAGTGGTCTGACGGCAGGTCAGCGCACACACACACACACACACACACACCACCGCAAGGTCCTCAGAGGGCTGGAGGAAGAGGAGAAACACTGGACAGCTGATGATTGTGAATGATTGAATAATTCATTCATTGATTTGACCATGTGAAATCTGTGTTTACGTGTGTATGTGTGTGTGTGTGTGTTCTCTCTCCACAGCATGTCTCTCCACTTGGGTAATGAGGTGTTTGATGTGTATCTGTGTTCTCTCTCCACAGCATGTCTCTCCACCTGGGTAATGAGGTGTTTGATGTGTATCTGTGTTCTCTCTCCACAGCATGTCTCTCCACCTGGGTAATGAGGTGTTCGATGTGTATAAAGCTCCTCTCCAGGGAGACCACAACCACCTGTTCATCAGACAGGGGACTGGGTTACAGGGACAGGCTGTGTTCAAGACCAAACTCACCTTCAGGTAACTCTGTCAACACACACACACACACGCACCACAACCACCTGTTCATCAGACACAGGCTGTGTTCAAGACCAAACTCACCTTCAGGTAACTCTGTCAACACACACACACACACGCACCACAACCACCTGTTCATCAGACACAGGCTGTGTTCAAGACCAAACTCACCTTCAGGTAACTCTGTCAACACACACACACCACAACCACCTGTTCATCAGACAGGGGACTGGGTTACAGGGACAGGCTGTGTTCAAGACCAAACTCACCTTCAGGTAACTCTGTCAACACACACACACACACACACACACACACACACACACACCTTGCCCTCTGTCTGAACGCCAAGCCAGAGCTCTGACAGACATCATGCACCAAACAGAAGAACACGGTCCAGATTTAATAGTGAACAACAACAACAGTGTCTAAGCAGAGCTCTGTTCAGACATGTCTTATCTGAGGGAACAGAACAGAGTGGGTAAGTGTGTGTTAGTGTCTGGTTTTAGCCAAGCTGCTTACAGAACAGTTGTTTTGATGGGGTCTTACCTTAGAACGTGACTCACTAGATGTCATAGGGCTTTACCTTCTGATACAGCATTGTTTGTATTCATTATCAGGGTAGAACTATTTGTTTTGGTCGAGAATTAAGGTTCAGTGTTACTTGTTTTGGTAAAGTATTAGAATAGAAGGTGACTTGTTTTGGTAAAGTATTAGAATAGAAGGTGACTTGTTTTGGTAAAGTATTAGAATAGAACGTGACTTGTTTTGGTAAAGTATTAGAATAGAACGTGACTTGTTTTGGTAAAGTATTAGAATAGAACGTGACTTGTTTTGGTAAAGTATTAGAATAGAACGTGACTTGTTTTGGTAAAGTATTAGAATAGAAGGTGACTTGTTTCGGTAAAGTATTAGAACAGAACGTGACTTGTTTTGGTAAAGTATTAGAATAGAAGGTGACTTGTTTTGGTAAAGTATTAGAATAGAACGTGACTTGTTTTGGTAAAGTATTAGAATAGAAGGTGACTTGTTTTGGTAAAGTATTAGAACAGAAGGTGACTTGTTTTGGTAAAGTATTAGAATAGAAGGTGACTTGTTTTGGTAAAGTATTAGAATAGAAGGTGACTTGTTTTGGTAAAGTATTAGAATAGAAGGTGACTTGTTTTGGTAAAGTATTAGAATAGAAGGTGACTTGTTTTGGTAAAGTATTAGAATAGAACGTGACTTGTTTTGGTAAAGTATTAGAATAGAAGGTGACTTGTTTTGGTAAAGTATTAGAATAGAAGGTGACTTGTTTTGGTAAAGTATTAGAATAGAAGGTGACTTGTTTTTGTAAAGTATTAGAATAGAAGGTGACTTGTTTTGGTAAAGTATTAGAGCAGAACGTGACTTGTTTTGGTAAAGTATTAGAATAGAAGGTGACTTGTTTTGGTAAAGTATTAGAATAGAAGGTGACTTGTTTTGGTAAAGTATTAGAATAGAACGTGACTTGTTTTGGTAAAGTATTAGAATAGAAGGTGACTTGTTTTGGTAAAGTATTAGAACAGAACGTGACTTGTTTTGGTAAAGTATTAGAACGTGACTTGTTTTGCTACAGAATTATGAGACGTTGTTCCTCTTTCAGTCTGAAGGAAAAAGCATGAATATCTGTTTTTGAGATATAAGCCCATTATTGTGTGTGTTCTCTCTCTCCAGACCCCACTCGACAGACAGCGCCACCCACAGGAAGATGACCCTCTCTCTGGCCGACCGCTGTTCTAAAACCCAGAAGATCAGAATACTGCCCATGGCTGGACGAGACCCTGAGTCTCAACGCAGCGAGATGATCAAGGTAACATGCAGGACTGTGTGATTTCATACTGGATGTAATGTAATAAGGTTATGAGGTGTGTAATGTTAGTAGAACTACACTGAATATAAATATGAACGCAAAAATGCAACATTTTAAAAGATTTTACTGAGTTACAGTTCATATAAGTAATTCATTAGGCCCTAATCTATGGATTTCACATGACTGGGAATACAGATATGCATCTGTTGGTCAAAGATGCCTTAAAAAAAGACAACCAGTCAGTATCTGGTGTGACCACCATTTGCCTCATGCAACTGTCCTTCGCGTAGAGTTGATCAGGCTGTTGATTGTGGCCTGTGGAATGTTGTCCCACTCCTCTTCAATGGCTGTGCGAAGTTGCTGGATATTGGCGGGAACTGGAACACGCTGTCGAACTGGAACACGCTGTCGTACACGTCGATCCAGATCATCCCAAACATGCTCAATGGGTGACATGTCTGGTGAGTATGCAGGCCATGGAAAAACTGGGACATTTTCAGCTTCCAGGAATTGGAATTGTGTACATGTCCTTGCTACCTGGGGCCGTGCATTATCATGCTGAAACATGAGGTGATGGCAGCGGATGAATGGCATGACAATGGGCCTCAGGATCTCTTGAAGGTTATCTCTGTGCATTCAAATTGACATCAATAAAAGGTAATTGGGTTCGTTGTCCGTAGCTAATGCCTGCCTATACCATAACCCCACCACCATCATGGGGCATGCCTGCCCATACCATAACCCCACCACCACCATGGGGCACTCTGTTCATAACGTTGACATCAGCAAACCACTCGCCCACACAATGCCATACACACGGTCTGCCATCTGCCCGGTACAGTTGAAACCGGGATTTATCCATGAAGAGCACACTACTCCAGTGTGCCAGTGGCCATCAAATGTGAGCATTTATCCACTGAAGTCGGTTACGACGACGAACTGCAGTCAGGTCAAGACCCTGGTGAGGATGACGAGCACACAGATGAGCTTCCCTGAGACGGTTTCTTACAGTTTGTGCAGAAATTCTTCGGTTGTGCAAACCCACAGTTTCATCAGCAGTCCGGTGGCTGGTCTCAGACGATCCCGCAGATGAAGAAGCCGGATGTGGAGGTCCTGGGCTGGCGTGGTTACACGTGGTCTGCGGTTGTAAGGCCGGTTGGACGTACTGCCAAATTCTCCAAAACGACGTTGGAGGCTTATGGTAGAGAAATTAACATGACATTCTCTGGACATTTCTGCAGTCAGCATGGCAATTGCACGCTCCCTCAAAACTTGAGACAACTGTGGCATTGTGTTGTGTGACCAAACTGCACATTTTAGAATGGCCTTTTATTGTCCCCAGCACAAGGTGCACCTGTGTAAGGATCATGCTGTTTAATCAGCTTCTTGATATGCCACACCTGTCAGGTGGATGGATTATCTTGGCAAAGGAGAAATTCTCACTAACAGGGATGTAAACACATTTGAGAGAAATGTGCGTGTGGAAAATGTCTGGGATCTTTTTATTTCAGCTCATGAAACATGGGACCAGCACTTTACATGATGTGTTTATATTTTAGTTCAGTGTAGTAACTACGGTTTGGAGAGGAGACAGACTTTCTGTTGTTACTAGAAACACTGACTGGGCTGATATTGCTGAATACACTGTCCTATATCTGTCCTATATCTGTCCTATATCTGTCCTATATCTGTCCTATATGTTCACAGAACATTTCAAATAGACAGGACAACACCTTATCTCACATGAGGGGTTAAAATGTTGACCCGTCTCTCCTCCTCTCCTCCTCCCTCCCTCCCCCTCCCCTCCCCTCCCTCCTCCTCCCTCCCCCTCCCTCCCTCCCCCCCCCTCCCCTCCCCTCCCTCCCCCTCCTCCTCCCCTCCCTCCCCCTACAGAAAGAAGAGGAGCGTCTGCGGGCGTCTATCCGTCGTGAGGGCCAACAGCGGCGGATGAGAGAGAAGCAGCACCAACGAGGGCTGAGCGCCGGTTACCTGGAGCCTGATCGCTATGACGACGATGAGGAGGGGGATGAGTCAGTCAGCCTGGCCGCCATCAAGAGCAAATACAAGGGGGGAGGAGGAGCAGGAGGACTGAGGGGTGAGGACACACAACACACATCTAGACACACACACACACACACACACACACACACACACACACAACCCGTCTAAACGCAGACACAACCAGATCAAATCCAGGCGAGGAGGAGAAGGCCTGAGGAGACAGAGAGACCATGTTAATGTGTTCTCTCCCTCCTCTGCTCCATCCATCCCCCTCTAACTCTACCCTGCTTCCTCCCTCGCTCAACGCCTTCCATCTCCTCCGCTCTCCCTCTTCCTTCCTCTCTTCTGTTCCCCTCCTCTTCTATCCCTCCCCTCTCTCCTCTCCTCCCTCCCTCCATCCAGAGGAGCGTGCTAGGATCTACTCGTCTGACAGTGATGAGGGTTCTGATGATGACAAAGCCCAGAGACTGCTCAAGGCCAAGAAACTAGACTCTGATGAGGTGGGTCACACACACACACACACACACACACACACACACACACACACACAGGTGTAAGTACAGTAAGAGAATGGAGAGGTGAGTTGTGACAGAGGGTGCAGTCCTATGTTCTAGCAGCAGAAGACAGTGTGACAGAGGGTGCAGTCCTATGTTCTAGCAGCAGAAGACAGTGTGACAGAGGGTGCAGTCCTATGTTCTAGCAGCAGAAGACAGTGTGACAGAGGGTGCAGTCCTATGTTCTAGCAGCAGAAGGCAGTGTGACAGAGGGTGCAGTCCTATGTTCTAGCAGCAGAAGACAGTGTGACAGAGGGTGCAGTCCTATGTTCTAGCAGCAGAAGACAGTGTGAATCACTACATATAGGAATCTAGTTCAGGTAACAAAGCACTTTGAGGCAGATCTGAAGTGAGTCAAATATCACATTTCTCCTGTTTCTCTCCCCCTTCTTTCATTCTCCCCCTCTTTCTTTCGCCCTTTTTCTCTCCTCTTTCTCTCTCCCCCCTCTCTTTCTCCCCCCTCTCTCTCCTGTCTCTCTCTAGGAAGGGGAGAGTTCATTGAAGAGGAAGGCTGGGGAGGATGAGGAGGAGGAGGAGGTGGAACCCAAGAAGGCCAAGAAATATGTCATCAGCGATGAAGAGGAGGAGGAGGAGGAAGATGATGAATGATGTCATTTTTTTACCATACCACTGTATTATCAGTGTTTTGTTCTGTCCAACGCGTCGCGGTGTAGACAAGAAACCTTTCATTTGTGGTTTGTATATTTTCTAATGATTGTGTGTGAGAGAGAGCGCTCTGTACAGCTGTAGTTACGGAATAAAGGATCAGATGAACTAGGTGTTTATCTCAATGACCAAACCTCAGTCTCTTTGTTATCTTTGTTTAAAAGTTCAGTTTTACTTTTGTTTTTGTTTGAGACGTCCATTTTCTAATCGAGGTTAAAGATGGAGAGTTGAAGGGGGGGTAGTGATGAGAGTGAGAGGTGTGAGGGACAGAGTTGGAGAGAGATGGTAGGTGGAGAGTTGAGGAGGGGATGGACAGTGTCTGTCTAACCTCTTCTGTAACAGTAGATAATGTTCAATCCATCTGGCACAGAGTATAAATGGAGGATTGATGGGTGAGTGGAGAGAGGGGGGCGTGTCCAGTCTTGGTGAAGAGAGGGGGGCGTGTCCAGTCTTGGTGGAGAGAGGGGGGCGTGTCCAGTCTTGGTGAAGAGAGGGGGGGCGTGTCCAGTCTTGGTGAAGAGAGGGGGGCGTGTCCAGTCTTGGTGGAGAGAGGGGGGCGTGTCCAGTCTTGGTGGAGAGAGGGGGGTGTGTCCAGTCTTGGTGGAGAGAGGGGGGCGTGTCCAGTCTTGGTGGAGAGAGGGGGGTGTGTCCAGTCTTGGTGGAGAGAGGGGGGGCGTGTCCAGTCTTGGTGGAGAGAGGGGGGTGTGTCCAGTCTTGGTGGAGAGAGGGGGGCGTGTCCAGTCTTGGTGGAGAGAGGGGGGCGTGTCCAGTCTTGGTGAAGAGAGGGGGGCGTTGTCCAGTTTAGGTGAGAGAGGGGGGTTGGCGTCAGTCTTGGTGGAGAAGGGGGGCGTGTATCTAGTATAGGTGGATGGAATGGGGGGAGTGGGGGGAGGGAAGGGGGGGGAAGGGGGAGGGGGAGGGGAAGGTGGGGAGGGGGGGGGAAGAGGGGGGGAGGAGGGGAGTGAGTGGGGAGAGGAGGAGAGGGGAGGAAGGTGAGAGAGGAGAGGAGGGGAGAGTGAGGGGGAGAGTAGATGAGGGGGAGGAGAGGGAGGAGCTGGGGGAGAAGAGGGGGTCGGAGGTGAGAGGGGGGAGTGCAGGGTGAGAGGAGGTGGGAGGTGAGCTGTGGGAGAGCTGAGTGTAGAGTGTGGGTGGGGATCGGGGAGGTAGCTGGGAGGGGTGGAGTGGTGAGAGTGAGGGAGGAGGTGGAGGGGGAGAGGTGGTCGGGAGAGGTGAAGCTGGGTGGGCTGAGGGTAGAGGGGGGGTGAGTGTGAGAGCTGCAGTGGTAGAGTGAGGGGGAGTGCAGTGGAGCGGTAGTGGGGTAGAGTGGGGGGCTGGGTAGAGCTGGGGAGAGGAGTGGTAGAGCCTGCAGGGTAGAGCTGGTGGGGTGAGGTAGGTAGTGTGTAGGGTGAGCTGTGGTAGAGTCGTCGTGGTAGAGTCTGAGGTGTGATCCTGTCGGGAGAGTCGTAGGGTGGTCGCGGGAGGTGCGGAGGCGCGTGGAGATGGGAGTCAGTGAGCTGTAGGGTAGAGTCGCGGTGAGCGAGGTGAGAGCTGGGTGGAGGTAGGGTAGAGTCGTCAGGTGTGAGTCTGTCAGTGTGTGGTCCTGTCAGGTGTGAGTCTGTCGTGTGGAGCTGCAGGTGGAGCTGTCAGTGTGTAGAGTCTGTCGGTGTAGAGTCCTGTCGTGTGTAGAGTCGTCGGTGTGTTAGTGTGGATCTGCGGGTAGGTCTGTAGTGTGTAGAGTCGTCGTGTGTAGAGTCCTGTAGTGGTAGAGCGGTATGTGTGTGAGTCTGTCAGTGTGTAGTCTGCAGGTGTAGAGTCCTGTCAGTGTGTAGGTCTGTCAGTGTGTAGAGTCCGTGTCAGGTGTGAGGTCTGTCAGTGGTAGAGTCTGTCGTGTGTAGAGTCTTCGTGGTAGATCGTGTGTAGAGTCCTGTCAGTGTGTAGAGTCTGTCAGTGTGTAGAGTCCTGTCAGTGGTAGAGTCCTGTCAGTGTGAGAGTCTGTCAGTGTGTAGAGTCCTGTCAGGTGTGTAGAGTCTGTCAGTGTGTCTGTAGGGAGGTCCTGTCAGTGTGTAGAGTCCTGTCAGTGGTAGAGTCCTGTCAGGTGTAGAGTCCTGTCAGTGTGAGAGTCCTGTCAGTGTGTAGAGTCCTGTCGGTGTAGAGTGTAGTGTAGGTCTGTCAGTGTGTAGAGTCTGTCAGTGTGTAGAGTCCTGTCAGTGTGTAGAGTCCTGTCAGTGTGTGAGTCTGTAGTGGTAGGTCCTGTGAGTGTGTAGAGTCCTGTCAGTGTGTAGAGTCCTGTCAGTGTGTAGAGTCCTGTCAGGTGTAGAGTCCTGTCAGTGTGTAGAGTCCTGTCAGTGTGTAGAGTCTGTCAGTGTGTAGAGTCCTGTCAGTGTGTAGAGTCCTGTCAGTGTGTAGAGCTCAGTGTGTAGAGTCGTCAGTGGTAGAGCCGTCAGTGTGTAGAGTCCTGTCAGTGTGTAGAGTCTGTCTGTAGAGTTGTAGTGAGAGTCCTGTCAGTGTGTAGGTGCAGGTTAGAGTCCTGTCAGTGTGTAGAGTAACCTGTCAGTGTGTAGAGTCCTGTCAGTGTGTAGAGTGGTGGAGAGTCTGTCAGGGTAGAGTCCTGTCAGTGTGTAGAGTCCTGTCAGTGTGTAGAGTCCTGTCAGTGTGTAGAGTCCTGTCAGTGGTGAGTCGTAGTGTAGAGTCCTGTCAGTGTGTAGAGTCCTGTCAGTGTGTAGAGTCCTGTCAGTGGTGTTCTGAGAGTCCTGTCAGTGTGTAGAGTCCTGTCAGTGTGTAGAGTCCTGTCAGTGTGTAGAGTCCTGTCAGGAGATGTGTGTAGAGTCTGTCAGTGTGTAGTGGAAGTCCTGTCAGTGTGTAGAGTCTGTGTGTAGTAGAGTCCTGTCAGGTGTGAGTCGTCAGTGTGTAGAGTCCATGTCGTAGTGTAGAGTCCTGTGGGTAGAGTCTGTAGTGTAGAGTCCTGTCAGTGTGAGATCCTGTCAGTGTGTAGAGTCCTGTGTCAGTGTGTAGAGTCCTGTCAGTGTGTAGAGTCCTGTCAGTTGTAGAGTCGTCAGTGTGTAGAGTCCTGTCAGTGTGTAGGTCCTGTCAGTGTGTAGTCGTAGTGTAGAGTCCTGTCAGTGTGTAGAGTCCTGTCAGGTGTAGAGTCCTGTCAGTGTTAGAGTAGGTGTGGTCCGTCAGTGTGTAGAGTCCTGTCAGTGTGTAGAGTCCTGTCAGTGTGAGTCGTAGGTTCCTGTCAGTGTGTAGAGTCCTGTCAGTGTGTGTAGAGGTCCTGTCAAGGTTGTGTAGAGTCCTGTCAGTGTGTAGGTCTGTCAGGTGTAGAGTCCTGTCATTTGTAGAGTCCTTCAGTGTTAGAGTCCTGTCAGTGTGTAGAGTCCTGTCAGTGTGTAGAGTCCTGTCAGTGTGTTGTAGAGTCTGTCAGTGTGTAGAGTCCTGTCAGTGTGTAGAGTCCTGTCAGTGTGTAGAGTCCTGTCAGGTGTGGTAGTAGTTACCTGTCAGGTCGTGTGTAGAGTCCTGTCAGTGTGTAGAGTCCTGTCGTGTGTAGAGTCCTGTCAGTGTGTAGAGTCTGTCAGTGTGTAGAGTCCTGTCAGTGTGTAGAGTCCTGTCAGTGTGTAGAGTCCTTGTAGTGTGTGAGTCCTGTCAGTGTGTAGAGTCCTGTCATTGTGTCTGTCAGTGTAGAGTCCTGTCAGTGTGTAGAGTCCTGTCAGTGTGGATGTAGTGTAGAGTCCTGTCAGGAGTCGTCAGTGTGAGAGTCCTGTCAGTGTGTAGAGTCCTGTCAGGTGTGAGTCCTGTCAGTGTACCTGCTGTCAGTGTGTAGAGTCCTGTCAGTGTGTAGAGTCCTGTTCAGTGTGTAGAGTCCTGTCAGTGTGTTAGAGTCCTGTCAGTGTGTAGAGTCCTGCAGTGTGTAGGTCCTGTCAGGTGTGAGAGTCCTGTCAGTGTGTGGTAGAGTCCTGTCAGTGTGTAGAGTCCTGTCAGTGTGTAGAGTCCTGTCAGTGTGTAGAGTCCTGTCAGTGTGTAGAGTCCTGTCAGTGTGTAGAGTCCTGTCAGTGTGTAGAGTCTGTCAGTGTGTAGAGTCCCTGTCAGGTTGAGTCTTCAGGTGTAGAGTCCTGTCAGTGTGTAGAGTCCTGTCAGTGTAGAGTCCTGTCAGTGTGAGAGTCCTGTCAGTGTGATCCTGCAGTGAGAGTCCTGTCAGTGTGTAGAGTCCTGTCAGTGTGTAGAGTCCTGTCAGTGTGTAGAGTCCTGTCAGGGTAGGGTCCTGTCAGTGGTAGAGTTCCTGTCAGTGTGTAGGAGTCCTGTCAGTGTTGGTAGAGTCCTGTCAGTGTGTAGGTCCTGTCAGTGTGTAGAGTCCTGTCAGTGTGTAGAGTCCTGTCAGGTGTGAGATCCTGTCAGTGTGTAGAGTCCCTGTCAGTGTG